TTCATGTCGGGCTGATCCGGAACGATCAAAATTTGAACTCACTGATTGGCTATTTCCTTTTTAGGAGTTTGTATTACCGGCAAAATAAGTAAAGCCATCCATGGCATCATAATGTAAATCATATGCCATATGATATAAAATTATGTCATGTCATATTAGATGTGATATGACAATTCATATAAGTCATATGTGTCATAAGACCAACACTGATGCGGAGGCCTAATAGAGGGTATTACGTGATCGCGAAAATTTTGTTGGCGATGCTGGGAAGATTCGAATTTATATGACAAATCATTCCTGCTGTATATATTTGTTTTAATTTCGGAAATGGCGGATTTACAACCTATACTCAAAACGATCAGAGACTTTTTTGATGAAACTCCCGTCGAAGAATGGACATATATTCATTTTTTAGAAACATTCAAACCCGTTATTATATTGAATTTAGATATCGCGACACGAGATGAAAAAGCCACGTGGAGGAAGAGATTTATAAAACGTTTAGAAAAGATCGCTGAAGATGACGCGTATAATGAACGTCAGAGAAGTAAGGCGATTCGTTTGAAAAACAAGGTACAGTATTTAGTGTATATTTCTTTTTTAAAAATGGTCAAGACAGTACTATACAGCCAAAGGACGGTTCCGCTCCCTCCTGAGGTATGACGGTAGCTCCCTCCATATGACATCTGACTGTTTGAAATGTCCTTTAAATTATAGTTTGGTTTTTTTTCCACATCGTCCAAATTTATTAGTTCAGTTTTCTTAATACATCTTATAGGACCCACAAACCGCAGACCTTTTTTGGAAGAATATTGAAAAAGAAAAGGAAATTATTCGTAGAAGGCAGGAGGTGGAGAACGATACGGTATGTATTATATTCTACATATAGTATATCTTATATATCTAACATTTTTACTGCAAACCCAAGGAATTAATCCCCAATAATACAGAAAAAGATGCATTAAAGCTCTTAGAAACAGCACGCACAGAAAAAACAAAAGAAATATTGAATTTATTAAAACGGAAATCTGAGGATATATCGAGTGCAAAAAAACGATACAAATTACCTGGTAAGAATATATAATACATCACTATTCTATCCTGTCAAATGATTTCTTTATATTTGTAGGAGCGATTCTGAATATTATGAATGTAGTGATTCAGGAGAAAGTGATACAGAATCGATAAATGTATACATGATGATGAGGAGATAAAAAACCTTTTACAGGTATTTGATATTACAGGTTACTCCCCGTTAATATCAACCCATTTGGATTAAACAATTATGTTGATATGTGAGGGTTGATAACAGCGGGATAGTTTTTATATAACCTAAGCCTATTTTTTCTTAATAAGAGGTTGATATTAACGGGAAGTTGATATTAACAGGTTGGTATTAACGGGTTGATATTAACGGGGTAACCTGTACCTTGTTTAGATATAATAGTTATTCAACTCATACTTAATCTCTAGATAAGATGGATATTCGGAACAAATTACTCAAAATTCTTACACAAAATAAAGGAAAGGGCAAAAGAGCTGGGAAAGGTTTTATGAAATCAATATTTCTCAATAATACAGTATTTTAGATCTATCGGATGATGAACATACAAGCAGATTAAAAAGTTCCTAAGTAAAGATCAATCTAGTTGACTCGAAGGAATTCTTCAGAAGAAAACATGAAAACCAACTCCCGAGTATACACAATATATCAATCAATTCACCGAAGAAGCATGTACTCGAAATGAGATCCCTATTCGTAGATCTTTGCATCCCTAAGATTTGATCCTTATTACCACGAAGTACATGATATTGCCCAGCACATACTAACATACTTGTAAGTATTCTTTATGTTGATGTTTAATATTAATCAATTCTTGATTATTATTAAGCTTTTGAAAATAGTTCATTACGGCTAGAAGCACCAACGAGAGTTGAATATAAAGGTTTCAATTTAGAAAGAACATATGCTGTAGATACGATTATATATTTATTTTAAACAGAAAATTTAAGATGAGTTGGATGTTGCTTTGTGGTGCGCTGTCAGCTATGTAAATCAAAACTATATGTAATATCATATAAAACTCAATTGTCGAAAATTTTTTTGACTATATATCAGCACAGTACTTTTAGTGATAAGTGATTTTATAAATGATTACTACTATTAAAGAATTTATATGATTACTATTATTAAAGAACAATTTTAGATGCAAAGGACGATTTTTATTGCTTTTTTTTAAATGTTTTAACATAAAATTAATCTTAAACATATTTCTAACAAAGTTACGTTAAAAGATTTCGAGTTTTAAAAATAAAAATTTTGCAGACAACAAAAATTTTCTTTTTCTTTTTTTTTTCGCCTTGACTAAATTTTCATTCGAGTTTTAAGTATTAACATAGAAGTGCAGAATAAAATATTTTAACGTAACTTTGTTATAAATATGTTTAAGAATTGATGCATACCAAAAAATTTGTAATACATAAGGTAATTCGTTCTCCACATTTAAACATGTTCGTAAAAAATAGTTTATTAATAATCACCCCAGATTAAAAAAAATTTCCAATTTTTAATTTTAATATGATACCACACATAGTTTTGATTTACATAGTCCGCAGCACACCCCAATGTTACCTGGTATGTATCAATTTAGCAAAATTTTAATTTTTAATTATTAATTATTCTGATTGTTTTTTTTTGTTATTTAACTAGGATTGAACAAATTACTCCTAGAAACATGAAATGTTAAGTATAGTTTAAATCATCTGTCTTCATTATGTTTTATGTTTAAAAAATTATTTTATTGGTAATCAGAATATTCTTAACAATCTCTTTAGTTAGGTCTGACAAATCCCAAACTCCAAAAAAAGCAATTTGTAAAAAAATGAAATAAAAAAAATTATCTTGATATTTTGTAAACATATTCTATATAAAAATATATTTCATTTGTTTAGTTAAAGATCATTAATGAAGTTTTTGAGATATAAATTTTGGCCAGAGTTTGGGATTTTGGCGTGGACAAACCAAAATTATTAGTTTGGGATTTGGGTGACAAATATAGACATGTATGTTTTTTCACCAAATCGATTATTTTATCAAAATTATAGAGACATAGTCTGACTATCCTTTTACATTCTGTAGGAAACATCAACTATTCGATTTACGTATTTGTTGCACATTATTATTTCTATGTTCTAGCGCAATATTCCTCTGTAGATCACCTTTTTTGTATCTTGCTTATTTTCCTTATTAGTAACATCATCATCAACTAGATTTGTAATATAAGGGTATAAATTGTAATATAAATAAGGTGCCCATCTACGTCTTTTATTATCTAGAATCGGCCAGCCCTTTCCAAATTTGGCATCTTCCCATTTATGCTCATCATGTTTTACACCTAGTATATTTAACAATTTCGAAGATCTATCCGGCATTATTGGTTGCAATAATATCCCAGTCATTCGTAATGTTTCAAATGAATAATATAACGCGCGATTCATCGAGATGTAATCTTTCGTCGTGAGGAATCCGATTGGCGATACTTTATCGAAATACTCATTGGCCTTAGACAAGAAAGATGTTAATAAGTAGAATATTATGATAATGGCAATAAATAATAATAAAAATATTTAAGTAAACATGGTTACCAAAGTAATAGTGGCGAGTATTTGTTTTATAGCTTTGGAAAACTCTAACTTTTCATAATGCTTATCCACGGTATCTGAATAAATCAGCCCAAAGTAATTTATAACCGGAAATTTTAAATGACAAAAACCTAGATATCATACAAATTGAGTAAGTTTACCTGGCAAATTTTCTAATGCCTGCTGTATAATTTTATCAGTATCAGGCATTCCATTTTTGTTTGTTGGAAATGTTGGAACCCATGGTCCATTTGGGAATAATTTAGGAGACAAACATTTATGAATTAGTTGACCAAGCTGATTCACTAAATCTGTGGCATACCGACTATTGATAGTTTGGTTTGAAAACTCTATGAAAATTTGAAACTGTTAAATTAAAATGATATAAATAAATAAAAAATTGAAATAATTATACAATGTTTACCATTTGAGTTAGAGTAATCACCGTACGCTAAATAGACATATCGAAAAACATCGGAACCATAATTATTAATTACTTGAAAAGGATCTGCATCACTCCGCGATTGTCGGAACGAATGAGCAAATAACTTTTTCGGAGGTAGTAGTTTTATACCCATTAAAAGTGCGGGCCCATATATTACATGACTCCTTAAATATCCATAGGCGAATTAGCCAATTATTTATCTTTCACTATAGAACGAACTTAAAAAAAAAAAAAAAAAAAGAAATTAAAAATTTTACCTAAGAATATATTTGGGACATATTTGAATGTCTACAGGCCAAAATTTATTAGAATTGCTTTCAGAGCAAGGATATCCAGTTGCTGTTAAGTAATTGATGTAAGCATCAAAAAGTGAATCAATTATTTGTTCTGTTTCTCCGGGAAGATTTGGTTTCCAATCTGTTGGACCACGAGGCCTTGAGATTGGCACATCCTCGATTAAACCTTGTCTGATTTTATTTCTAAGTCCATGCAAACTGTTAGGAGCAATAATGACTAAAAAATATATGCCCATAAGGATTAGGAGGTATTTCGACTCTTATGATTTATCTTAAAATAATATTTACATTTTTCGTAATCGTTCAACCATTCCATAAGATTTGGTAGAAGTTTTGATAATCTGAATTTATAGCGTTCCTCAACATGCCATTCGACTGGCCGTCCAGTATAAAGTGTAACCTAAATTAAAGGAGAATGAGATATAACTACTATCGAATTAAAACGTCACATGAGAACTCACTTTCAATTTTTTTCCACTGTGTGGATGTATATTTTCTTTAACATCTGCTTCGCTATAAAACATTCGATCATTTTTTGAATACCAGCCTTCAACCTTATCTTTATAAATCAGGTCATTTTCCATCAACCGATTCTACTAGAATAATATGCCAAAACAGGACATGTAAAACTACCATGTGAATAAAGTTAGTATATATATTGTTATGATATAACTTACCCAAACGTGTTCTACGGCTTTTTCATGCCTTTTTTCGGTTGTACGAATGAAGTCGGTATAAGATATCATTGCAGCATCTAATAATTTCTAGATTACAAATTAACATTTAAAACAGCGCTAAAAATGATAATGACACACAATATTAAGGAATCATAAGTATTACCCTGTACTTATTAGACACATTTTTACACTGCTCTTGTAAATCCAAATCCGGTTTCAAAATATTTCGAACCTTTATGCAGATACTGATTATTGTTATATTGATTTTAATAAACACCATAAATTTAAAAGTGGATATTACCTTTAACGCCCCATATTCAGAAGTCCCTACACTTAATTTTACTTCTAGGCCTTTCAATTCATAATATCTTTTAAGAGCATCTGCTATAATTGCTGTATATAAGGAACTAATAATCGTATCTAAAAGATTCAAAAAAAAAATTATCTCAGAAAATAAAGCTAATTATTTAAATAAAATAGTAATCATGAATCCTACCGGAATGAAGTGTAAACATTGGTGTTGTGATAAATATTGGCTTTTTCTTAGCAGATATAATAGGCGCAGAATCATTATTTATTATATTTCGAAGTGATCTATTGGAAGATATATATCGCAAAAAATTCAATTGATCAAGTCTATGGCCTGATAATTTGAACAAATTTATAACATTAAGTGTAAACATTCTAACAGTAAATGCAGGAAAAAAAATGATAACGATAATCATTATATTATAATTTATCTTCACGTGAATTTTATACAGTATATATAATGATTTTAGCGTTTGTGCGATGTAACCCAATATGAAATAATTAGGAAATCACAACCCAAAGAAGTATCATCATTTCATTTTCGTAAAATGGATGAACTACTGGATGAAGAACTTTTTGGTCCTGGCCATTTTTCAGATAGTGAACTAGAAGTAGATAACATGATAAATGGGGCAGAAAGTCATGAAAATGGTTCACAAATTTCATCTAATAATGAACCTCAAAAAACTGTATTTCCCTCGATACCAGGGTTGTTCCTTTATAAGAATTTATTAACTCAAGAGCAACAAAATAGGCTTGTTGATGCAATTATTAATGAAGGCTATTTTGAGAGACCGGAATCAAATCAAGCAATGTGTTTTGGTATACTTCCATCTTTTATTATGCGAGTTGTTGATATTATTGAAAATATACCTTCCATTTTTTCGGATGAAATAAAGAATAGAAAGCCTTTATTTGACCAGGTATGTATTTACCGACAAAACAGTTATTTAAAGTCAGACCTCCATAAATGCACATTCTATAAATGCAAGCTCTATGTAAATTCACTCTGAATGTACAGTATAACTTGGTCCCATCTCATAAGAGTTCTATATATTTTGCTCTCTATAAATGCATATTTCAATTTTTTTTTATTCTTATGGTCCTGGGGGAATGTATTTACGGAGGTCTGCTATAAAAAATTTTCGACAAAGTATCCCGTCCTTTTCCGGATTATAGTTCCATTATCGTTCCGGAAGATACTCATTTTCGGAACAAAACATATACAAATTTCTGGTCATTTCCATAGAATCTCGGTAATTCTCGAGTAGAAATCAAATCTGGGTAAGATTTGGCTTCTAAACTTTTGTATATACTTCATTATAATTAGAAGTCGAATCTTATCCGGATTTGATTTCTACCCAGAATTTATTAGGATTCTATGGAAATAACCAAGAATTGATATATGTTTTGTTCCGAAGCATGAGCACTTTCCGGAACGATAATGAAACATTAGTCTGGAGAAAGCCGGGATACGTTTTCGAACAATTTTTATATGGTATAAAATTTGTTTTTAATGAATTAAATAAATATAAAACAATTTACATCCACTTAGTCCATTATAAATGTATACAAAGCCGGAGATGGTATTAATAGTCATGTTGATCTTGATAGGTCTTTTTATAAATATTTCAACTCCTTATTTCAAAAATAATTGCTTTCATTTTTTTAATAAATTTTTAAATTAAAGATTCGAGGATGGAATAGTTGTCATATCACTACTTTCATCTTGCGCAATGAAATTCAGTCCTGCTTCTCTAATAAACAAAGAACTGGGATATTCAGGTAACAATTTAAAATAAAAATAATGTATTATTTTTGCTAACTTTTATTGGATCATTTTCAAAGATACATCTACAGCTACGGATCCTAATGAAGTAATTTCAGTCATTCTTCGACCTGGAGATGTTCTTGCAATGAGTGGACCTGCTCGTTACGATTGGGCACATGGCATTGAAGCTACTAAAATCGATATAGTTGGAAACGAGAGAATTGTTCGAAAAGTGAGAGTTTCAATTACTTTGAGAAAAATGAAAGAAAATCAATTTTTGGATCAATGCGCTGATAAATAACTTATTCGTGGTTTAGAATAGTTAGCTAGAGTCTTGAATCGGTTTGATTTTCATATACTAAAAGCATATAAAAATCAATCGGTTCCAAACTCTAGAATTAGTTAACAACAATAGAAACATGTAAAATTAGGACAATCTTAAATATATTTCTAGTAATTATCATTATTATTTTTTGCACTTTTTAGTAAATATGCTGGTAAAATTAAACTAAAATGATAAAAGAATTTCACTAATATTGGTAAAATTGATGTAAATTAATATACCAGCATCTTTATTCTTTAGGATAATTATTTAGTAAAGTAGTGTTGAAGTTTTTGAGTTTTGTAACATTATGTGAGATGGTGAATTATGTATTTTATAATCTAGAATATAAACTTTCAGATATTCCAATCTGCTCATGTCACGTGACTAGCGATTGATATAACCTGCATTAAATAAGAAGTAATTACAAAAAAAATTTAATACAGTGGATTTCATCTAAAGTCAACATGTTATATGCTGGGTATTCAAAAAGTTCCTATACACGATCCCTATTTTATAAGTATGATAACATACGTATATTGAGATCATGATTTGAATATTTGCATAGTTATATGAGTGTCGCTAAAACCCGAAAATTTAAATGACTTATATTTAGATTTTCGGGTTTTCTTTTAGCGACACTCATATATAAGATCACTTAAAAAAAAGGGAATGTGCATTGGAACTTTTGAACACCAATTGTTTTAGCTGCTGTGTAATACATTTAACCAATAAAAATATAGAAAAACTTAATACAATTTTAAAATTTATTAATTAAATTTAAAATTTTGTTTTGCTAAAATCAATATATACACTTTTAAAATTTCATATCAAAATATATAGGTCCAAATTTCAGCATCAATCGCGCAATAAATAAAAAATTATATTTTTAAATATACAAGTGCTAAAATTTTGAACTATAAGCTACATAAAAATTGGTTCTTATATTAAAAAAAATATTTTTAACTATATATTATAGTTAGGAATAATCTAGTTGTCGCCTGCGATGATAGTTTCCGGATTTCAGTTGACCAACGAGATCGTATAATGGAATCAAAACAAATACCAAGGTTTAATTATCGTTAGAGTCAGGGTTAGAGTTGATTTAGGGTTGGGTAGGGCATGTTATATAGTAAAATTTTGCAAGAAATAAATAACAAATAAACATAACTTACAGTCCAACCTCTCTAAATGCATTGTGACGAAACTCATGCAAAATTTTAATTTAGAGAAGTATTGTATTTAGGATGGTAAGAATCTATAAGTATTGTAATAAAGACACGCATTTAGAAGCTTTTCGTAGGTCGTGCATTTAGAGGGGTCTGGCTATGTATCGAAGTTTATGTTTGTCTTTATTGGTTAATTAGAACAAATTTTAATTGACTAAAATAAAAATTCATTTTTAAATGCTTTTTTTTTTTTTTTTTTTTTAAAGAGAGGTCTATCCTCTATTTCTTTTATTTAATAGTTGAATATACATATAAACG